CAGACTTTTCCTCATTAGTCCCTATAAAAGCTGTTTATTAATAACCAGTGGCGGACAAACGTTCTTACTAAATTACAGTAAAATAAAGGTTTTATTCTGGTATATGAAGGTCTTTAAAGCTAATCTAATCAAAACGTTCTTTGATATCCTATGAATGGAGTTTGAGGGCAGATGTTGAGACATAGAAGCTGATTTATGAGCTTCTGTCCATCTTATTTGCTCTTCATGTTGGCGTCCTTCATGCATGTTACCCAGCAGATTCCACAACGGGGTGGGGCCTTAGCTGATCAGGCCGGGTGTGGCTTTGCTCACACTCGTGCAGAGGACACACACTAACTAGTGCCCCCCTCCCAACAACCCCCCCCCAAGCTCCATTGTGACAAACAGAGCCCCCTCTGTGTCTCTAAACAAAGGTAAATGCAGCTTGATGCTTTACCTCCCCCCCCCTAACCAACAGCCCCGCCCATAAACTGGTGATGTCAGATACGTCTCCATGGTTCCTGGATTAAAGCTGAACCCTGTGATGTGAAAAATAAATACTTTGTTGAATTAGGAGCCAAACATTCTCCTGCTTTCAGGTTTTGCCCTAAAACAAAGTTTTTCTAAGAAAGTGAAGCGTATCTATATATCATATATCATTCTAGCAGCACTGCTATGTGCTTCACTTCTATGTTCAGAGGTCCTGAAGCCACTTGTCCAATTTTTTTACTGACAGCATTTCACATAAAGGCAAAATGAATGTTTCAGCTTATAGAACTAAAATCATTAAGTTTGAAGCAAAACTTTCCTAAATATCCTGATTTTAATTTCCCTTATTTAGTATTGAGTGACTTCCTGTAAGCAACTGATGTCAAACCAGCAGAAAAAAATGTAGCTAGATAAAAAAAAAATACACTCAATGAAAAAAAGGATCTGTAATTTTTTTCAAAGCTAACAGGCTACTGCACTTTAGCTTGTTTTTAAGGCTTTTTTTTTATCTCTTTAAAGCACTTTTTGTAAAAGGACAATCTGTTATCTGTACAGGTTTGGTACTGAGGGAGTGATG